GCTATACTCAGCCTTGTCTCAGGGTAGTAAGTTGGTGATATCCCTCAAGTGGTGTGGGGGCTGTACTTTGGCAAAGTGGGTGGGGTTATATCCTATATCTGGTTGGCCCTGTCCGGAGGTATTGTCGGACAGGGCCACTGTGTCCCCAGACCCCCGTCTCAGCCTCTAGTTTCGATGCTGCAATAGTCCATGTGCCAGGGGGCTAGGGTCAGTCTGTCCTATCTGGTGAAATTCTCCTGTCTTATCTGGTGTCCTGTGTGAACTTAAGTATGCTCCCTCTAATTCTCCCATCACGCTCTCTTGCTCTCTCTACCGCACCTGCTGTCTCAACCTCTGCTATGAAAAGCCAACTGACATTTACTCCTAAGGTGCTGACCTGTTGCACCCTCTATAACCAGTGATTATTAGTTGACCTTGCTGGTCATCTATGAACGTTTGAACAGCTTGAAGAACGATCTGGCCTTAATGGCCATGTACTGTTACAATCTCCACCTGGCACAGCCAGAAGAGGACTGGCCACCCCTCAGAGCCTGGTTCCTCTCTAGGTTTCTCCCTTTCTAGGGAGTTTTTCCTAGCCACAGTGCTTCTACATCTGCATTGCTTGCCGTTTGGGGTTTTAGGCTGGGTTTCTGTATAAGCAATTTGTGACATCTGCTGATGTAAAAAAAAAAGCTTTATAAATACATTTGATTTGATGTGGCCATCCACACTCAAAAAGTATATGTTTCTGCATAATGTTCTAAATAGAAATGGCAGTATTTCAATGTGGCCAGCAGAGGGCACAATAAAACTTCATAGCTATTTTTTTACACCACAACTTGCAGGTGAGGAAGCTTTTCATGATCTGGAAGAGGTGCAGAGAGAAATGACACACTTCACAAATGAAAAACTTTATTTGAGAATACCAACAAGTGTTGATGCAACAATCATCACAATGCAAGAAGAAATTGTAAATATTATGCAGTCCTACATTCTAAGATGCATAGAGTTTGCCATGAAGTTTACTTCTGCCCTAGGAAACGGAAGTTCACACAATATAATATAAATTACAGACAGGTAAAATAAATAACCAGCATTACAATATAACAACAATATTGTCAGAATTACGTGATGAACATTGTCGTTTCTCTCCCTCTTTTTCAGTGTTGCTTGTATTCTTAACAGTATGCTTCATGGTTAGGAATGGCAAATCAATGCAAAGGACATTACAAACGCTTATGTGATGAGCGCACTTATCATATCCATAAATATCATTAATACGCTTAAGTATAATGTGGAAATGATTACATTTAGTAAGTTGAACACTTAAGAAATTGTCCTTGAGGGAGCACTAACTATGGGTTTTGTAGTCCAAAAAAAGGCCTAGTCAAAATGGACAATGTTCACCTGTAATTAACTGTCTGATGTATGGAAGGCAACATATTCCATTAAAGCGTTCACACATAAATACACACCAATACTATGATTAATATGTTTTCTCAAACAGCAACAATAATTTGTCCTATACAATCTCAACACCAGCATATAATTCAAAGGCTATATATTGCGGGCAATGAAGAGCCCATCAAGTCACTAACATACCCTTGGTCTCAGAGGTTTGAAAATCTAATTTGAAGACAACAGATGTGGCGTTGCTTCGACAAGGCTGTTTTGATAACGTAAATGTTAGTTTTGTCTTGATGTTAATGTAGCCTTTAACCATTTGATCATGTGTCACTATTCCCTTTTTAAACGTAACCTGTGCACGGTAAACAATAGGCCTACGCTATGCATCAAAGAAGGGAGAGCAGTCTAGCCAATAAGAACTCAAGCCATAGGGTAATTGTGAAGGTCGCAATGACAGTTTGCTTTTGTCAAAAGGGTACATTAAAGCCACTATATTATTCACAGGCTGAAAATACTGCAGTGTGTATTAATCCATCAAGACAAACATGCAGCGGTTACTGTATGATACTATAACACCACATACCGGTAGTATAGTAAGTTAGAATACCACTGCTTTCTTCAGCCGTCAATACACAGCAAGCATAATAAAAGTGATGTAAACAAGAAAAAAACATACAAAATAAAAACGAAATAGGAAGAATATATATTTTAAAAAGGACAAGTTTGAATCCACAACATCCCCACGCTTGTGAACTCAAAAGTAAATCGGAGTTAGCCTACCTTATGTAATATAACAAAGTCATTAGCATTTATTACAACACTTATTTAAAACTGCTCAGTTAATTGATCTCAGGCATATGGATACATTTCAAAATGATTCAATTAACTTTAAAGAAGCAAATAAAACTGACTTTTTCAATAAGAAGATACTACTACGGCTAATATACAGGCACCTAGTTTGTCAACTGCCGACTCCAAGAAATGTTGTATTTGATCACATACTATTTTCACATGCCAGCTGCTTACAGTCCTGGGAAAGTGTGTGTATGTGTGTATATGTGCTCTCGAAAGCAAAGCGACTCCAACACAAATACAGACTGAGGCCAATGCAAAGCAACAGTTAAATCCTGAAGGGAGACTTGAGATGCAGACAGTCAAACCTCAGCTATGTTGTGAAAGCAACGGGACAGGTGTCATGGTAACAGACTGGGGTTTTGGGCATATGTTAAGGGTGGCGGGAGCAGTTGCAGGTCACATGGACACAGATTCCCCATTGTCCAAAACCATTCTGGTATTTCTGCTTTTCTCTGTGTTCCCAACGGGACACAGTTTTTCCAAACTCAAACACTGACCCCTTCTATCATGTCATTATTAAATAAAGTAGAATACAGCTGAATATTACAGATGGATGTTAGAAGAAGGGAGAAAAGAGGAGAGAGTGTGATAGGCATGATATCGTGTTATGGGAATAGGAAGAGAAAATTCTGAAGAAGGAGCGAGACAGGATCAGTGAAAGAAAAGGATGAAAAGAGAGAGAGCGCATGATCAGTGGGAAGAGAGAGAGAAAACCAAACATCCCAACGGTTGTCAGTAGAGGGACAGAGGTGACAACAAGGAGCAGTCTTGCCGAGGACACCAGGAATGGTAGAGGAGCTTTTCATTTCGTGGTAGGGGAGAAGAGAGAGAAGGATGGGGCAATAATCTTGATGTGGCTTATGCCTGATGGAAGAGAAAGAAACACAAAGAAACACAAAAAACATTTGATTAAAAACTCTGTGGTGGGGCATCTTCTAACTAAACCCTTTATTTAATCTATGCAGGTTATCCTAACATTAAGAGATGTGCCCTCGGCCAAATCTGCACTGCAGTATGGACTACTCTTGATTTCAAATAGAATAGATCTTTATTTGCATGGTACAGTGCATTCAAAAAGTATTCAGACCCCTTGACTTTTTCCACATTTTGTTACCCATCAATCTACACACAATACCCCATAATGACAAAGCAAAAACAGGTTGTTAGAATCTTTTGCAAATGTATTACAAAAAAATAAAAATATTACATTTACATAAGTATTCAGACCCTTTACTCAGTACTCTGTTGAAGCACCTTTGGCAGCGATTACAGCCTCGAGTCTTCTTGGGTATGACGCTACAAGATTGGCACACCTGTATTTGGGGAGTTTCTCCCATTCTTCTCTGCAGATCCTCTCAAGTACCGTCAGGTTGGATGGGGAGCATCGCTGCGTAGCTATTTTCAGGTCTCTCCAGAGATGTTCGATCGAGTTCAAGTCCGGGCTCTGGCTGGGCCACTCAAGGACATTCAGAGACTTGTCCCAAAGCCACTCCTGCGTTGTCTTGGCTGTGTGCTTGGGGACGTTGTGCTGTTGGAAGGTGAACCTTCGCCCCAGTCTGAGATCCTGAGCACTCTGGAGCAGGTTTTCATCATGGATCTCTCTGTACTTTGCTCCGTTCATCTTTCTCTCGATCCTGACTAGTCTCCTTGTCCCTGCCTCTGAAAAACATCCCCACAGCATGATGCTGCCACCACCATACTTTACCGTAGGGATGGTGCCAGGTTTCCTCCAGACGTGACGCCTAGCATTCAGGCAAAGAGTTCAACCTTGGTTTCATCAGACCAGAGAATATTGTGTCTCATGATCAGAGTCCTTTATGTGCCTTTTGGCAAACTCCAAGCAGGCTGTCATGTGCCTTTTACTGAGGAGTGGCTTCCGTCAGGCCACTACCATAAAGGCCTGATTGGTGGAGTGCTGCAGAGATGGTTGTCCTTCTGGAAGGTTCTCCCACCTCCACAGAGGAACTCTGGAGCTCTGTCAGAGTGACCATCGGGTTCTTGGTCACCTCCCTAACCAAGGCCCTTCTCCCCCGATTGTTCAGTTTGGCCGGGCGGCCAGCTCTAGGAAGGTCTTGGTGGTTCCAAACTTCTTCCATTTAAGAATGATGGAGGCCACTGTGTTCTTGGGGACCTTCAATGCTGCAATCAAGTTGTAGAAACATCAAGGATGATCAATGGAAACAGGATGAACCTGAGCTCAATTTCGAGTCTCATAGCAAAGGGTTTGAATACATATGTAAATAAGGTTTTTCTGATTTCCAAAATTTCTAAAAACCTGTTTTCGCTTTGTCATTATGGGGTATTGTGTGTAGATTGAGGGAAAACAATTATTTAATCAATTTTAGAATAAGGCTGTAACATAACAAAATGTGAAAAAAGGGAAGGGGTCTGAATACTTTCCGAATGCACTGTATATGTTTGAATAGAAAGGAAGCATGCATGCTTATGTTGAGACTTACTATGTGGCTCTGCCTTCCTGTTGAAGCTCAGAGATAATGTGTAAGCCTATGCGTTTATCGATTTACCATTGCAGCTTCACCATAAAAGAGGAAATGAATGACTAGCCATTGAATAAATTAAAAGTAGCCTTTCCTAACACATCAAATTCATCCATCGACCTAAATAGCCTGCAGCACCACGGCTATTTTGTTTGATGAATAAACAGTGACCCATTTTTGGATGGTGCTACAGCCTCCCTCCACCTCCAGTGCTGGTTAGTGCTGTTACTATTGTGTCTGGGTGCAGTCAGTCACTGTGACTCAGCTGTTTGCTGTACTGTGTATGTGGGCTCTGCTGAGCAGGCAGGCAGGCAGGCAGGGGTGAACCTGGCACACAGAGCCCAGCCAGTGACTGTGCACTGCAGACCGGAGGACATCTGCAAGCATCAGCACTGCAGCAGCACAGTCATAGAACTAACAATAAGGGGAGGCTTGGCAGAGAGAGGTGTCTGTACTGACTGATGATCTATGGATATAATACCTGAAAATGTATCCATCCCTCCATACAAATGTTATACTGCAGTGAAGAAACTTGCCGGGGCACAAGAGAGTAATATGTATTTAACAGTATGAAATATTAGGCTTGATCATATCAATGCAGGCTAACTAATTGTTATGAACATATCTTAAAAACCTGTAATGAATAAACATTTTGGTTTTAGGTACGTTAGAATAACATATGGTAGTCTATAAGAGATAACAGCGCACATTCTAACCCCACCCCAATACTACATTATAATAGATTAGTTATATTAGCTTGGATACTCTGGTCTGTTTTCTGACCATAACAACCCGCCCCAACCCCCAAGCTTTGGTCCAACCTTAGTAGAATGGCGGAATCAAAAGGAAGAGTAAAATCCACTGAATGAAGGAAAGGAACATTTGATTGACAGGCTGATTGGTTGCCATGGCAAGGATAATCATCAATAGGGTAGGTTAGTAGTGGCACAAACAGAAGGAAAAATATGACATCCATAGACGATGCATTAGATTAGCTAACGCAAAAAGGAACCTACATTACAAGCACAGCACATACGCACATTCAATAATGCATTTTTCACAGGCACACAGAGACAAGTTCTACATAACCACAGTATACGACCACAACTGCTTCCATGCAACACAGCCAAAAACCACTACCATCCGTGTACCGCTCTATCACTTCAACACAGTGAGAAAGTAATGCATGAAATATTGGGTCCCACTTTATTTGAAGTGCATCATAAAGGCTTCATAAGCACTACATAGATGCTTCACAAATAATCTATAAACGTATATCATGCTCTATAAAGATTCACAATGTGGCCTAACTGTGTGACATAACCATCAATTTATTTGTTCACATTTATTAAATATTTTATAGAGGATGGAATACGGTTATAGATGATTTGTGACCCATTTATGCAGTGCTTATGAAGCCTATATGAATGTTTTATGAAGCCTTCATAAGATGCACTTCAAATAAAGCAGGACAAATATTGATTCTCTATTATTTTTTCATTGCAATAGATGGATGTACAGAGAAACATTTTCTTCAATTTTCCCCCTTGCCATAATATTATTTTAACTGCCATGGCCATCACTAGGATGATAAAGGTGGATCCTTTGTTTGAAATAACTTCCCGAGGCAGCTCTATTCATCGTCGGAGAAGAGGAAAAGTGGGGCCCTAGTCAGACTCAGGCATACCATCCACCGCTTCCGAGTATACTACTCACTAACGTTCAGTCCCTGGACAATAAAGTAGACGAGCTCAGGGCAAGGATCACCTTCCAGAGAGACATCAGGGACTGTAACATACTCTGTTTTACAGAATCATGGCTCTCTCCAGATATATTGTCCCCATCCATTCAGCCAGTTCAGTTCTCCATCCATTGCACTGACAGGAAGAAAGAACTCCCTTGGAAAAAGAAAGGCGGAGGGGTTGTTTCATGATTAACAAATCATGGTGTGATTGTGGTAATGTACAGGAACTCCAGTCCTTTTGTTCTCCCGATCTGGAATACCTCACCATCAAATGCCGACCGCATTACCTCCCAAGATAATTTTCTTCGGTCATCGTTAATGCTGTGTATATTCCCCTCCAAGCAGTCACCGCAACGGCTCTCAAGGAACTACACTGGAATATGTACGAACTGTGAACCACATATCCTGAGGCCGCATTTATTGTAGCTGGGTCCTTTATTAAAGGCCATTTTTATTAACATGTATTTATTCAGGGTAGCCCAATTGAGACCAGGGTCTCATTCACAATGGTGCCCTGAGTACAAACATTTTCTCAAAAACAAGAAGAAAAATGTACATTACAAATAAAACAAGAATACATTTACATTACATTTTTGTCATTTAGCAGACGCTCTTATCCAGAGCGACTTACAGGAGCAATTAGGGTTAAGTGCCTTGCTCAAGGGCACATCGACAGATTTTTCACCTAGTCGGCTCGGGGATTAGAACCAGCGACCTTTCGGTTACTGGCACAACGCTCTTAACCACTAAGCTACCAAGGCACAACCTCAACATCACAATTTCAACAAATAAACCACTACAATCAATCAATCCTCAATGAACACCAGAGTCCTAAACTGCCCTAGCGGCACCAGGGAATCAAGATGAAAGGAGTTTTGTAGGTTATTCCAACAATGGGGGCACTAAAACTAAAGGAGGATTTACCTAAATTGGTAGAGACCAGAAGGACCTCAAGAGTTAACCAATCCTGCGAGCGGGTTTGGTAGCTCATTCTTTTATACATTAGAAACAAAGTTGTAAACAAAAAGGGACTTTAATGAGGACCAGCCAACCTTTTGATACAGGATGCAGTGGTGAGTATTAAAACGGTCACCTGTGAAAAAGTGAAAGGTGCTATGGTAGACTGCATCCAAAGGTTTAAGAGTAATGGCTGCTGCAATCTGGCAAATGGTGTCACCATAGTCAAGAACTGGCAGGAAAGTTGACTGTACATTCTGCTTCCTGCTACTTAGGGAGAGGCAAGATCTATTTCTAAAAAAGAAGCCAACTTTAAATCTGAACTTTGACTGCTCGTGAATTGTATTAATTAATTAATTAATTAATTAATTAATTACTCTGCCATTTTTTAAAGTCATGCCCCCCTCCATCCTTGACTTTTCCTAAATAAGTCTATAACACACTGTCCATATTAGAATCTTAATATCACAAACAGAACTGGAGTTATAACCAGTTTTAGGATGGCATGTCATTTTTAAAAAAGGGTTTTCCCCCATTGCCCCTCCTTCTCCCAACAGTAGCGACTGCTCCGCTCCTTCTTCCGGTTATAATCACCCCGAAAATTACCTCGAAGCTGAACTGAAACTATACTGAAACTAATTTCACATATACACTACCGTTCAAAAGTTTGGGGTAACTTAGAAATGTTTTTCATTAAAGTAACATAAAATTGATCAGAAATACAGCGGAAACATTGTTAATGTTGTAAATGGCTATTGTAGCTGGAAACTGCTAATTTTTTTATGGAATATCTACATAGGCGTACAGAGGCCCATTATCAGCAACCATCAGTCCTGTGTTCCAATGGCATGTTGTGCTTGCTAATCCAAGTTTATCATTTAAAAAAGGTTAATTGATCATTAGAAAACCCTTTTGCAATTATGTTAGCACAGCTGAAAACTTTTGTGCTGATTAAAGAAGCAATAAAACTGGCCTTCTTGAGACTAGTTGAGTATCTGGAGCATCAGCAATTGTGGGTTCGATTACAGGCTCAAAATGGCCAGAAACAAATAACTTTCTTCTGAAATGCATCAGTCTATTCTTGTTCTGAGAAATTAAGGCTATTCCATGTGAGAAATTGCCAAGAAACTGAAGATCTCGTACAATGCTGTGTACTACTCCCTTCACAGAACAGCACAAACTGGCTCTTACCAGAATAGAAAGAGGAGTGGGAGGCCTCGGTGCACAACTGAGCAGGACAAATACATTAGTGTCTAGTTTGAGAAACAGACGCCTCACAGGTCCTCAACTGGCAGCTTCATTAAATAGTACCCTCAAAACACCAGTCTATACGTCAACAGTGAAGAGGCGACTCCGGGATGCTGACCTTCTAGGCAGAGTTGCAAAGAAAAATACATATCTCAGACTGGCCAATAAAAATAAAATATTATTTATTTATTTTTATTTATTTCACCTTTATTTAACCAGGTAAACCAGTTGAGAACAAGTTCTCATTTACAACTGCGACCTGGCCAAGATAAAGCAAAGCAGTGCGATAAAAACAACAACACAGAGTTACATATGGGGTAAAACAAAAAGTCAAAAATACAACAGAAATACATATATATATATACAGTGTGTGCAAATGTAGCAAGTTATGGAGGTAAGGCAATAAATAGGCTATAGTGCAAAATAATTACAATTAGTATTAATACTGGAATGATAGATGTGCAAGAGATGATGTGCAAATAGAGATACTGGGGTACAAATGAGCAAAATAAATAACAATATAGGGATGAGGTAGTTGGGCGGGCTAATTTCAGATGGGCTGTGTACAGTGATCGGTAAGGTGCTCTGACAACTGATGCTTAAAGTTAGTGAGGGAGATAAGTGTCTCCAGCTTCAGAGATTTTTGCAATTTGTTCCAGTCATTGGCAGCAGAGAACTGAAAGGAATGGCGGCCAAAGGAGGTGTTGGCTTTGGGGATGAGCAGTGAGATATACCTGCTGGAGCGCAGACTACGGGTGGGTGTTGCTATGGTGACCAATGAGCTAAGATAAGGCGGGGATTTGCCTAGCAGTGATTTATAGATGGCCTGGAGCCAGTGGGTTTGGCGACGAATATGTAGTGAGGACCAGCCAACAAGAGCGTACAGGTCACAGTGGTGGGTAGTATATGGGGCTTTGGAGACAAAACGGATGGCACTGTGATAGACTACATCCAATTTGCTGAGTAGAGTGTTGGAGGCTATTTTGTAAATGACATCGCCGAAGTCAAGGATCGGTAGGATAGTCAGTTTTACGAGGGCATGTTTGGCAGCATGAGTGAAGGAGGCTTTGTTGCGAAATAGGAAACCGATTCTAGATTTAACTTTGGATTGGAGATTCTTAATGTGAGTCTGGAAGGAGAGTTTACAGTCTAATCAGACACCTAGATATTTGTAGTTGTCCACATACTCTAGGTCAGACCCGTCGAGAGTAGTGATTCTAGTCGGGTGGGCGGGTGCAAGCAGCGTTCGGTTGAAGAGCATGCATTTAGTTTTACTAGTGTTTAAGAGCAGTTGGAGGCTACTGAAGGAGTGTTGTATGGCATTGAAGCTCGTTTGGAGGTTTGTTAACACAGTGTCCAATGAAGGGCCAGATGTATACAAAATGGTGTCGTCTGCGTAGAGGTGGATCTGAGAGTCACCAGCAGCAAGAGCGACGTCATTGATATACACAGAGAAAAGAGTCGGCCCAAGAATTGAACCCTGTGGCACCCCCATAGAGACTGCCATAGGTCCAGACAACAGGCCCTCCAATTTGACACATAGAACTCTATCTGAGAAGTAGTTGGTGAACCAGGCGAGGCAGTCATTTGAGAAACCAAGGCTATTTAGTCTGCCAATAAGAATGCGGTGGTTGACAGAGTCGAAAGCCTTGGCCAGGTCAATGAAAACGGCTGCACAGTACTGTCTATTATCGATCGCGGTTATAATATTAAGATGGGCAAAAGACACAGACACTGGACAGAGGATAATTGGAGAAAAAAAGTGTTATGGACGAACAAATCGAAGTTTGAGGTGTTCGGATCACAAAGAAGAACATTTGTGAAACGCAGACCAAATGAAAAGAAGCTGGAGAAGTGCTTGATGCCATCTGTCAAGCATGGTGGAGGCAATGTGATGGTCTGGGGGTGCTTTGGTGGTGGTAAAGTGGGAGATTTGTACAGGGTAAAAGGGATCTTGAAGAAGGAAGGCTATCACTCCATTTTGCAACGCCATGCCATACCCTGTGGCGGCGCTTGATTGGAGCCATCATAGACGATTCAACAAATACACACTGTACCCTTTTTTTAAATATCAACTCCAGATCAGAAAAGGATTATAAGAACATATGCAGAAAATAACCGCAAGGATATGAGGACACATGAATCAGCCACAGCACAGCAGGTGGTTAATGGGTAATGTAGTGCATTTCAAACCAACTAAACACACACACAAACACACACAAATGTTTAACATGGCAGGCCCGTGTTAAAAGGTGAGCCTCGCAGGCTAGCAGTGGTGGAACATGCGTGTTTGAAGTGGGAGGGGGTAGTGAAAGCTAGCTGGGTGCGTTAGTGAGAGGAGGCACAGACTCACAAACTGGGTCTCTCTTGGCAGTATCAGTAGGGTGCGTCCCAAATATCACCTTATTTCCCTATATAGTGCACTACTTTTGACCAGGGCCCATATGGTCACACAGTGCAGATTTAGGATGCAGCCTAGCAGTTAACTCTAATAGTTCCTATCAGCAAAATCCCTTCTCACTATCCCTCACTATTTTAGTCATTGCCATCGGCAGCCCTCCCACTGCAGCAGATCTGTAGCCTGACTAGCCTGGGCTGTAAATGCCCATCAAGTGCAGTAAGTGAAACTCTCCTTCCCATAAGGCTCGTAGAGGAGAGAAGGGGATTAAAACTCACGCCAGCATTACCAGTCCAGATGTCCTAACGGGGACAAGCAGCCAGTGTCTGACTGAGGGACATTTCACTGCTAAAATGAGAAATTATAATATACAAGCACCACATAAAAGTTAACACATACAAAGCCAGTATTTAAATGAACAGGAGTTACACAACAGGGTATGCCAAGACACTCAATCAGCTTTTTGCCTTTTCAAAAAGTATTTCCAGGTGACACTTTAGTGACGACGGGGCACTAATACATAGAGCTGGTGGACTGATACAGTATAGATACCTGGAATCCAATTTCTTATAGATGCATCTCCAGATCCAGGAGTGAACAGCCTTAATTTCCTTGCACACATACTTTAGTACTGATGACTGTGTTAGCATCCCAATTTTTCATGCATCACCCGAAATGTGCACTTCGGGTGTGAGTACCCCACCTCTCATGGATTTAACAATGGTGACAACTCCCTCCAGCTAATGCTTTCACAACAATCCTTTGAAATCCATGTACAGGTTTGCAAGTACCCACTTCGGAAAAAGTGTGGAGAATTGGTACACAACCACTGTGTGCACAGTGTTTAGGATTAGGGCTGCGGGTGTACTACTGTACCAGACCATTAGCTCAGCAGTGTACTCTGTATGACTGCTCTATCCATCACTAAGGCCACTGGAGTTTAGGGGACTGAATAAGTTGTGGATTTGTACTCACCCCGTTCCACTCTACGCCCATACTCACTTCCTCGCCGGTCTCGGAGCCGCTCTCGTACTTGACGCTGGACAGGCTGTCCCTGCTCCTCCGACTCTCCCTGTCCCCCTCGCCATCATTTAAGATCTCCACCACACGCATCTGGTGGATGGGGTCTATGCCCTGGGGGAGGGATGAGTGCACACATGCACACAAACACGCGCAAGCAGACAGACACAAACAAGCACAAGCACACACACACACACACCCTTTAAAGACAACTAACCTTGAAGATGTCACGAGCTAGTGCATTCTAGTGCCGTATACCCAACTGTTATGGTCGTTGTCATGTTGACCATAGGAGTTGGCAAGGCAGCAAAACATATCTGAAGTCAGGCTATATTCTAGTACAGTGGTATTCAAACTTTTTCAGCAAGGACCCCTTTTTTTCTAAAACACATTCTTGCAACCCCACCCCAAATCTAAATTAGTATGTCTATTTTTACAACAACAAGTAACCTTCAATTCATTGCATTTCTTAACAAAATAAATAATAATAATAATAATCTGTACTTAAGTTTTTGTCACAACCCCGACTTTGAATACCATTGTTATAGTACATAGGGGCTGTGGAATTACAATTGGCAATAGGAGCCACCACAGAGACATGGACACTACAATGACAGTTACATGGGAGTGATGTTAGAAGGGAGACTCTAGTGAGACTACCTGTTAGAATTAAAACACTTACCGTGTTGCTCTGCATCCAAAGCAAGGTAGAGAAAGGAAAACATTGCATGAGATTCATTGTCCTAACCAAAAGTTAGACGCACAAATATCATACCCCCAAGACATGCTAATCTCTCACCATTTCAATACCAGGGGAGGTTAGCATTTTGGGGGGAGATTGATATTTATGCCTCTAACTTTCTCACTCATCATTATCCACGATTCATTCAGGATTATCCGTAATGATGGTAGCATCCACATTAATGTAGAAGTGTTTAGAAACATATTATATTCTTCTTTACAACAAAAGTGACTCCAATACATCATTTACCATTCATTTCTATTGGGAACAAAATAATCTCAAACAAAACCAAAACAAACAGCAAATGCATCCAACAAATTTGTAGTCACAAGCTTGATGTAGTCATTGCGTATGGGACCAATGAATATGAATGTGTGACCAAATACTTAACCTTTTACTACTTTAATAGACATAAGTGAATTTGTACCATTTTTACATTTACATTTTAGTCATTTAGCAGACGCTCTTATCCAGAGCGACTTACAGTTAGTGAGTGCATACATTTTTATTTTTTATACTGGAATCGAACCCACAACCCTGGCGTTGCAAATGCCATGCTCTACCAACTGAGCTACATCCCTACACTTTTGGTCCCCTACAATGGGGGGACTATGTACAAAAAATGCTGTTATTTCAAAACGGTTCACCCAATATGGATGAAAATACACTCAAACTAAAGCTGACAGTCTAAACTCCATAGTTATTGTATCATTTAAAATCCAAAGTGCTGGAGTACAGAGCCAAAACAACAACAAAATTCACTGTCCCAATACTTCTGGAGCTCACTGTATGTACCTGCTTGCGGGACCTCATGGCACACTCCTCCAGGGTCTCTGCGGCCTCCAGCTTGCCCTGTCGGCGGTACAGAGCCCCCAGGTTTCTCAGAGTGGTGTTCACTGTAGGGCTGCAGGTAGACAGACACAGCAATGGTCACTCATACTGATAAAGGCAGATGACCATGTTCAAGATGACCAGTTCAACGACATATTTTATATTATTTGTAGTATGTGTGTGTGTGTGTTCTCACTTTCTGAAGATTATACATAGACATTGTTTGGGATTATAGCAAAACTTCTTCCCATTATGATAGTTTTGCTGCAAGGACTCATTTGGATAATACTTCAGGGTAAAATATTTTGAAAGAACTTAATGAATCTCTTAATAGCTCCATGCCAAATTGACACCATTAAATTGGCCTAATATCCTGAAGATGTTGAAATACACAATCTTAGTGTCACAATGTCAATATGAATAGGGGCCAAACTACTGACTGACTAATGCTTTGTCTCAGCTACGTCAGCACAACTCGTGGCTCACCTGTTGACTTTGCAGGCCCTATACCAGCCTCCACACTCGCCGTACGGGGTGTTGTCTCTGTGCTTGCCCTGGAAGTAATTAAAGAGAGAAGGAGAGACGTTGAGTGGGAGTGGTAAAATGTGAGAGTGGAACTTCAGACAGGAACTACTACATTCCTGCTGGTATACAGATGTGTTATAGAGCTCCACCTAGTAAGACCTTAAGTACATGTGAGAACACAGGTAAATACACACAACCCACCTTGCTCATCTCCTCCCTCTCTTCCGCGTGCATCCAGATGGGTTTGTTCTCAGCTGCAGAAAACGAGACAGAAGAGGTGTTCTGTACAAAGATCGGTCAGGCTGACCACAAACAGACATACAGTGCATTCGGAAAGTATTCAGACCCGTTGACTTCTTCCACATTTTTTACGTTACAGCCTTATTCCAAAATTGATTTAAAAAATACTAATTCTCATCAATCTACTCACAATAATCCATAATGACAAAGTAAAAATAGGTTTTTATAAATGTTTGCATATTTATAAAATATAAAAAAACAGAAATATCACATTTACATAAGTATTCAGAACCTTTACTCAGTACTTTGTTGAAGCACCTTTGGCAGCGATTACAGCCTTGAGTCTGGGTATGCAGCCACAAACTTGGCACACCTGTATTTGTGGAGTTTCACCCATTCTTCTCTGCAGATCCTCTCAAGCTCTGGCAGGTTGGATGGGGAGCGTAGCTGCACAGCTATTTTCAGGTCTCTCCAGAGATGTTCCATCGGGTTCAAGTCCGGTCTCTGGCTGGGCCACTCAGACATTGAGAGACTTGTCCCGAAGCCACTCCTGCGTTGTCTTGGCTGTGTGCTTAGTGTCGTTGTCCTGTTGGAAGGTGAACCTTCGCCCCCAGTCTGAGATCCTGAGCGCTCTGGAGCAGGTTTTCATCAAGGATCGCTCTGTACTTTGCTCCGTATATATTTTACCCCTCAATCCTGACTAGTCTCCCAGTCCCTGCCTCTGAAAAACATCCCCACAGCATGATGCTGCCACCACCATGCTTCACCTTAGGGATGGTGCCAGGTTTCCTCCAGACGTGACACTTGGCATTCAAGCCAAAGAGTTCAATCTTGGTTTCATCAGACCAGAGAATCTTGTTTCTCATGGTCTGAGAGTCCTTTAGGTGCCTTTTGGAAAACTCCAAGCGGGCTGTCATGTGCCTTTTACTGAGGAGTGGCTTCCATCTGGCCACTCTACCATAAAGGCCTGATTGGTGGAGTGCTGCAGAGATGGTTGTCCTTCTGGAAGGTTCTCCCATCTCCACAGAGGAACTCTGGAGCTCTGTCAGTGACCATCAGCTTCTTGGTCACCTCCCTGACCAAGGCCCTTCTCCCCCGATTGCTCATTTTGGCCGGGTGGCCAGCTAAGAACAGTCTTGGTGGTTCCAAACGTCTTCCATTTAAGAATGATGGAGGCCACTGTGTTCTTGGGGACCTTCAATGCTGCAGAAATGTTTTGGTACCCTTCCCTAGATCTGTGCCTAGACACAATCCTGTCTCGGATCTCTACGGACAATTCTTTCGACTTCATAGCTTGGTTTTTGCTCTGTCATGCACTGTCAACTATGGGACCTTATATAGACAGGTGCCTTTCCAAATCATGTCCAATGAATTCAATTTACTACAGGTGGACTCCAATCAAGTTGTAGAAGTGTCTCAAGGATGATCAATGGAAACAGGATGCACCTGAGCTCAATTTTCGAGTCTCATAGCAGAGGGTCTGAATACTTATGTAAATAAGGTATTTTGGTTTTTATTTGTAATACATTTGCTTACATTTCTAAAAACCTGTTTTCGCTTTGTCATTATGGGGTATTTTGTGTAGATTGATGACAAAATTATTTTATTCAATCAATTTTAGAATAAGGCTGTAACGTAACAAAATGTGGAAAAAGTCAAGGGGTCTGAATACTTTCCGAATGCCTTCAGAAAGTATTCACAACCCTTGACTTTTTCTACATTTTGTTGCGTTCCAGCCTGAATTTAAAATGGGTAAAATTGAGATTTTCTGTCACTGGCCTACACACAATACCACATAAGCGAAATTTTGTTTTTAGAAACTTGAGTCAATAAGTATTCAACCCCTTTGATATGGCAAGCCTAAATACTTAGTAAAAATGTGCTTAACAAGTCACATAATACGTTGCATGGACTCACTCTGTGTGCAATAACAGTGTTTAACATTATTTTTGAATGACTACCTCCTCTCTGTACCCCAACACATACAATTATCTGTAAGGTCCCTCAGTTGAGCAGTGAATTTCAAATCACTGATTCAACTACAAAAACCAGGGAGGTTTTCCAATGCCTCGCAAAGGGCACCTATTGGTAGATTTTAAAACAGTTAGAGTTTAATGGCTGTGATAGGATAAAACTGAGGATGGATCAACAATATTGTAGTTACTTCACAATACTAACCTAATTGACAGTGAAAAGAAGGAAGCTTGTACAGAATACACATTTTCCAAAACATGCATCTGGTTTGCAACAAGGCACTAAAGTAATACTGCAAAAAATGTGGCAAAGCAATTCACTTTTTGTCCTGAATACAAAGTTTTATGTTTGGGGCAAATCCAATACAACACATTACTGAGTACCATTCTCCATATTTTCAAGCATAGTGGTGGTTGCATCATATTATGGGTATGCTTGTAATCGTTAAGGACTAAGGAGTTTTTCAGGATAAAAAATAAACAGAATTGAGCTACGCACAAGCAGAATCCTAGAGGAAAACCTAGTTCAGTCCGTTTTCCACCAGACCCTGGGAGATGAATTTACCTTTCAGCATGACAATAACCTAAAACAAAAGGCCAAATCTACACTGGAGTTGCTTACCAAGAAGACCGTGAATGTTCCTGAGTGACCGAGTTACAGTTTTGACTTAAATCTGCTTGACAATCTATGGCAAGACTTGAAAATGGTTGTCTAGCAATGATCAACAACCAATTTGACAGAGCTTGACGGATTTTGAAAATAATATTGGGCAAATATTGTACAATCCAGGTGTGCAGAAGCTCTTAGAAACTTACCCAGAAAGACTCACAGCTGTAATTGCTGCCAAAGGTGATTCTAACATGTATTGACTCAGGGGTGTGAATACTTATGTAAGTGAGATGTGTATTTCATTTAAAATAATTTTGCAATCATTTCTAAGCATGTTTTCACTTTCACATTATGGGGTATTGTGTGTAGACGGGTGAGAAAAAAACATTTAATCAATTTTGAATTCAGGCTGTAACACAACTAAACGGGTATGAATACTTTCTGAATACTGTATATGCTCTGAGGACCGGGCAGTGCACCTCTCATTTCTATTCTTTAAAGTGTGTGATGCATTATTCTTCAGACAGGTGGGATAAAAGTTTTCCTTTTAAGGTGTCATTGTTTCAAACCAATAGTTATTCTGATTAATTAATGATCAAGACTTGGGACTTTTCCTTTACAATTTCACAAGAAATTGACTGTTCTATTAATAACATTTCTCCTAGAGATAAAAATGTGAACTGCTAAATACGGTTTCTCTTATTGAAACTGGACCAATTAAGTAAGGTATTTTACCCACATGCCAAGAGTTTAAGGATTAAGGTAGACTACAAATATGTGTTTGAGTTTTGAAACAGGATGGAGAAAGAAATGCAATGTACTGTGTGATTCAGTACTCTTACATTGAGTACTACTATGTTAATGACACTGTGTACATTTAAACACATAATCCCAAAAATACAAACTATGAATCCTGATGGGTTAAATGTGTATTCTTAAAACATTCATGCATTTCACACAAACCCATGCAGTATGATAATTGTGCATAATACAACACAAAAGCTCATCTGCCCCTTTAGAAATATTAAGCAAGAACAGTGTTTCAAATGATTGCCTTGAAAATGCTATGAATGCTACTCCCTAATGCCAGATCAACTGAGGAGAGATCAATTAACCAAAAAAAGGTATAAATCAATAAACGAATAAAACCCATAAACCCATGACAGCATCTTTGCCTTACCGCAATATAAAAATGCAGAGTGTTTAGTATGTGTTGAGACAGAGATCACAAATATACTTCATTTTAAGAATAAAAAGATAATATAACACACATCGTAAAATTGGTATACCGCAACAGCTCTGTCTAAACTTCAGGCGACCAACAGAAACAAAAGACCTGCCTTGTCTCAATTCATGAAAACGCTTCAAGGCAATTTTGAGAACCAACCAAACTATTTTAGTTTAGTCAGCTTGAGTGTTCCCCTGTGCCAAGTCGCACTCATTCAAACAATTTTTGTACCAATGTGACATTCTAAAGTAGGATATCGAATCCCTTGAGTTTATCCCAAAGGAATAAGAGCAAGGAAAGTTAACCTGTTAAACCAGGAAAAAGCCTTTTTATTTTCTTCAGAAAATCCTCTCATCCTGACTGGTGAGCCAGTCGTGCCTTGACGAACGAACAGCACCCTGTTTAGAACACTGTCCATTTTTTAACCCTGTGTCCGTCAGTGGCTCTGCTCGCTGGGGTAAGACAAGAGGCAAATCGAGAAGAAAGATAACATCTTTAAAGACATCTCCAATGTACTTTCTAAGGGAACCCTGCCCTACCACCTCCACCAGTTCTGCTCATATTATGACTATAGAAAACCATATTCCCCCTCTGAGGTGAGAGCTTAATTGAAAAGCATTGTACTGTACTGTTCTTACCATCGACAGATCCAAATTCTTTCTCGTGGGCACGGGTCAGAATCTCTTTGTACAGAATCTCAGCCTCCTTGTATTTGCCCTGTTTGAGAAAGCAGGATGCCTTTAGAGAAAAGAGAGAAGAGAATGTTGTATCAAACAAGGGTATTGAATCACACAGCTCCCTAAAAGAACTTGTCCAATCCATCCATGCACATATTTCCCAAGTGTAGTTCAGGGGCTCATGAACAATGATATAGCACTACTGCGCCTGCCTTTGGGTCTCAATACAGCCCCTCAATCATAAAGCAGACATGATTTGGCCGAGGAGTAGGGTTGATCCGAGCGTTCTGACCTCACAACGGCAGTCAAGCACCCAAGCTAACTGGCTTGCTAGCCACTTCCAGACACAAATGAAAGAACACCTCACTCTGACCATTTTACTCGCCCTAGCAGAGATGGTTAGGCTGTTTTCATGTTATCCAGAGCTTTGGTGACTGTAACTGTGCTGCTGGCAACAATTTACTTACATTTTTTGCTGACGTTTACTGACACCAGCCATATTCAACGGGTGTTGAGGTATTTTATTTGCACCGGTTCTATGCACACTCACTGGACTCTACCCACACACTACCCTGACACTCCAACACATACACTACATACGCTGACACACAAAACATACAAACGCATATTGATGCCACACACACATACTTTCACGCTGCTGCTACCATGTTTATTATTTATCCTGATTGCCTAGTCATTTTTACCACTACCTACATGTACATATTACCTCTACTACCTCGTACACCTGCACATTGACTCGGTACCGGTACTCCTTGTATATCGTCTCGTCTCGTTATGTTTTTTTTATGGGGGGTAGATCAGCTTAATATTGCAGATAGATTGTATCTTCTATCAATGTAATTGTCTGCATCACTTCCAATCCCCCATGTTTTTTATATATATACTCCTTTATTACTTTTCAACCCAGTCATCCTTTCCCTACTTGGGGTAAATTAGTGAACAACAATGCCCAGGCCTCTACTTCCAGCCTATACTTACTATCTACACCTTATGGACAGTCAATTTTACAATAATAATTATTTTTATTTTTTTTATTTTTTTTGCTCCTGAACTACTTCTACTCTCAACCTCTCCGATCATTTTCATGATGTCCATCCGGTTTGCTTCTATATGCCATATCTTTCTAACTGTGCTCTTTCCCAAAAGCTCCCAACATACAACCTATATACTAATTATGGACACAGTATGCTTACATTATTAGTTATCTTGTTGTTATTTGTTGTTATTTGTTATTAGTCCCATCCTTCAACTCCATTCAATACCTCCCATCTATCTTTTAACACCATCCATATTGGATTTCTATTTGCCATATATTTTTCAACCGTACTGTGATGTTTTACAAAAGTTCTGAACCTTTCTATTCTCATTGCTTCTACAGATTGTGAATTTAAAATAAACATTTTTGCTAAAAGTATTATTATATTATTGATCGATTGACTATGACTTTTCAGATCACCCAGTAATGCTATCTGCAAGGTTAGCTCCAGGTAAATATTGCAATCCTTTAGCCATTCCTGGACCTGTGTCCAAAAACAAGCTACAAATGGACAGAACCAAAACAAATGATCTAATGATTCTGTCTCTTCACAGCAAAATCTGCAGAGCTGGGAAGATTGTATCCCCATATAAATAACATTCTATTGGTAGCAAGAATTTTATATAATAATTTAAATTGAAAGATGCAAATTTTTGAATCCGGCGTCGTTTTGCGTATCAGTTCATAAACACTATGCCATGGGATCGGTACGTCAAAAATCTCTTCCCAACTATTTTGCAATCTATATGGGATGGCTGTCAATCCTTTGGTCCTTAAATGAAACTGATATACTTTCTTATTTATCACAGTTTTCCTTAACCAATTATGTTCTTTAATGCAAGGCCGACAGACAAGTTCCTTACTTTCTCCCCCTTCCACTTTCCTCTTCCACTTTTGCGGTAAGGCTGCAATTATTTGGTTGTAATTTTGGGTAGAGCAGACATTTCCATATGTTTTTGTTAGCTGCATGTGCGACATAACTCCACCAGTCCTACCGATGATATTATTTACGAAGATTATACCTTTTTTAAACATTCTGTCAAGAAAGAAAGGTTTTTTGTCAATTAGTATATTTGAATTTAACCACAATATTTGTTGCATTATTAGTTCTGTCGTTTCTGGAGGATTAAATTGAAATTGCAACCAACTTTCTATGGCTTGTTTTAGAAATAGTGATATTTGGGAGATGATTTCCTTTTCAAATAACTGAAAATGAGTTGTTGTAATCTGAATAAAGGGAAAAAGGCCTTTCTTGAACATTGGGTGAGACAATCTTACTAATTTGCTTGAGAACCAGTTCGGATTTAAGTATAACTTTTGTATGACTTAAGCTTTTAGTGATAGGTCTAATGCTTTAATATTTAATAATTTCTGTACTCCGAATTCATATTAATTATATAAATAGGCCCTTTTAATTTTGTCTGGCTTGCCGTTCCAAATAAAATAGAATATTTTTTTCTCATGTAATTTTAAAAAAAAAACTGTTCGCTAGGCGTAGGCAAGACCATAAGCAAATAGGTAAACTGGGATAATACTAAAGAGTTAATCAGGGTGATTTTTCCACAAATTGACAGCTATTTTCCTTTCCATGGTAGTAAGATCTGATCTATTTTTGCTAACTTTCTATTAAAATATATTGAAGTGAGATCATTTATTTCCTTTGGGATATGTATTCCAAGTATATCCACATCACCATCAGACCATTTTATTGGTAATGTAAATTTTTTATTTTTTAGTGATCCAATACGTAATATAGTACATTTGTCATAATTTGGTTGTAATCCAGAGAGGTTAGAAAATGTATCTAGATCCTCTATGAGGATGTTACTTTGTGTTACTATTGCCTTTTTTGCATGTTTCTTACTTTTTAACTTCGCATTGTTGGGAAAGGGTTCATAAGTAAGCATTTCACGGTAAAGTATACACCTGTTGTATTCGGTGCATGTGACAAGTACAATTTGATTTTGAATTAATCTAGCGACACAGAAACCCTAACTAACCAAACATGCAAGTTCAAACTAATTCACACATGGCATATGTGGGTGTTTATTTATAGGTGAATGACTATGCACACAAGGGACAGTAGCTATTCTCACAAGCATGTGTGTGTGGGACCCACTAAACGTAGATAATTATGTTTTGTAAACAACACAGAACCTCTATAGGACATTACCCACATAGAGTGAGTTAGTATGAAAGCATGGCCATGTTAATTGGGGGTTTGGTGCCTAATGAACACCACCCAGGTGTTGCCCAGAAGTACTCACCAGGTTGTTCTTTGTCTTTGCCACGTTGGGGTCGTCGGGACCAAGTCTGCACTCATAGATCTCCAGGGCGCGGCAGTAGTAGTACTCTACCTCTTCATACTTGCCCTGGTTCTGACACAGCAGGGCCAGGTTGTTCAGCTGCTTGGCCACATCTGGGTGATCCTTGCCCAGTACCTGAGAGGGACAAACACAAGTTATATCTGTATTTATATGTTTTTTACAATACAGTATTCTATGTATTTATCGATATGGTTGTATGAACGAATCACATCGTTGAATGGTGAAATAACATACATTTTACCAACAGTTATAAAACGGTGAAATAAAAACTGCCAAAACGTTAACACAATCAGTAGCATTACTAAGCATATTATACAAGTATACTACATGACCAAAAGTATGTGGACACCTGCTCGTTGAACGTCTCATTCCAAAATCATGGGCATTAATATGGAGTTGGTCCCCGCTTTGCGGCTATAACAGCCTCCACTTTTCTGGGAAGGCTTTCCACTAGATGTTAGAACATTGCTGCGGGGACTTGCTTCCATTCAGCCACAAGAGCATTAGTGAGTTCGGGCACTGATGTTGGGCGATTAGGCCTGGCTCGCAGTCGGCGCTCCAATTCATCCCAAAGGTGTTCAATGGGGTTGAGGTCAGGGCTCTGTACTGGCCAGTGAAGTTCTTCCACACCGATCTCGACAAATCATTTCTGTATGGACCTCGCTTTGTGCACGGGGGCATTGTCATGCTGAAACAGGAAAGGGCTTTCCCAAACTGTTGCCACAAAGTTGGAAGCACAGAATCATCTAGAATGTCATTGTATGCTGTAGCGTTAAGATTTCCCTTCACTGGAACTAAGGAGCCTGAACCATGAAAAACAGCCCCAGACCATTATTCCTCCTCCACCAAAATTTACAGCTGGCACTACACATTTGGGCAGGTAGCGTTCTCCTGGCATCTTATCACTCCAGAGAACTTGTTTCCACTGCTCCAATGGTCGCGAGCTTTACACCACTCCAGCCGACGCTTGGCATTGCGCATGGTGATACTAGGCTTGTGTGCAGATGCTCGGCCATGGTAACCAATTTCATGAAGCTCCCGACGAACAGCTCTTGTGCTGACGTTGCTTCCAGAGGCAGTTTGGAACTCGGTGGTGAGTGTTGCAACCGAGGACAGGCGATTTTTACGCGCTACGCACTTCAGCACTCGTCTGTCCCATTCTGTGAACTTGTGTGGCCTACCACTTCGTGGCTGAGCCGTTGTTGCTCCTAGACAGTTCCACTTCACAATAACAGCACTTACAGTTGACCGGGGAAGCTCTAGCAGGGCAGAAATTTGACAAACTGACTTGTTGGAAAGGTGGCATCCAGTACGGTGCCACGTTGAAAGTCATGGAGCTCTTCAATAAGGCCATTCTACTGCCAATGTTTGTCTATGGAGATGGCATTCCTGTGTGTTCGATTTTATACACCTGTCAACAACGGTTGTGGCTGAAATAGCCGAATCCACTAATGTGAAGGGGTGTCCACATACTTTTGTATGTATAGTGTATCTTAGAGCTGCAGGCAGAGAGCATAGGTGGCGCACGGTAGGCAATCAAGCACTTTCTGTTTTGTTGTCTACCATTGAATTACCATTTTAGTACGTCTCTATGGAGGACTAAAAGTGCCACAATTAAATAAATAAATACACCATTAAATAATTACTTAAATGTGTCATTAATTAATTAAATGTGTCATTAATTAATTCAAATTAGAATTAAATACATAAATGTGTAATTAAATGTATCATTAATTAATTCAAATACCGATTCATTTTATGTAAAATACATATATAATTATTTCACTATTTACATTTACATTTCATGATCCTGCATTGCAGTGATTCATGAATTACTTAAAACTGTCAAACTGACCCATCAAAGTCAGTGGGCGGGGCTAACGCGAATCTAGTCTGATCCATTGCTTTGGTCTGAAGTAGAGTAGGCCAACCTGGATAGAGACAATGGAGGATCTCCGTGAACTTTCCAGGGAGTTGGTTAGAGACATTTTAAACTTAGCAGAGGATGTAGAAGCAGGACCTGCTGACATTATCCGGAATTTATTTGTCTTGGCTTGATGCAGAGGGTAACCAATCAGGCGTTAGGTTCCGCCTACCAACTTTTGATGGGTCAGTTTGACAGTTTTAAGTAATTCATGAATCACTGCAATGCAGGATCATGAAATGTAAATGTAAATAGTGAAATAATTATATGTATTTTACATAAAATGAATCGGTATTTGAATTAATTAATGACACATTTAATAACACATTTATGTATTTAATTCTAATTTTAATTAATTAATGACACATTTAAGTAATTATTTAATGGTGTATTTATTTATTTAATTGTGGCACTTTTAGTCCTCCATACGTCTCAACCTTTGATTATGTTTTCTTTGTACATATGTCTATCTGCTTTATTAAACAATTTCTTTCAGCAGTTAACATGTCCACCCACTGTGTCAGGTGGAGTAAATCGAATAAAAGCCAGATCAATACGGAGCGTGCTGCTCGGGACTGAGGCACAAAACTTATCTACTATGTTCTGTCTGCACGGTTTTCTCTTTTCTTCTAAACCTCCCTCTGTTCCCGTTCCCCTTCCTCCCCCTACCTCTCTCCCCTACCTCTCTCCCCTACCTCTCTACGTTATCACTTTTACTTAATGTGATCTCAATTAATCCCTGTAATTGCTTCAGACAAGATGACCCCTGATGTGAACTTCATTAGACGCATTAAGAACATAACTTGACCTTTTTTCTCCCGTTTATAGTGACAAGTGTAGCAATTGTTCCGTTGAAATTTATTTTTATCACCCATTATTATAATTATCACATCATAGGAATTTCATTCAGCATTGATTCGAGAGTTTCTATCAGAACTGAGGCCTAGATAAGAGTGTGTTTTGAGGTGATTTGAGCAATCTTATGTCAGGAGTGTAATAGATAAGAGGTCCATGGATGTGGCCTACCTTTTCTCTTATCTCCAGGGCTCTCTTGCATAATGGCTCGGCCTCCTTGTACTTGCCCCTCTTCCCATAGAGCACGGCCAGGTTGTTGAGGGTGGCGGCAACCTGGATGACACGCACAAACCACACACACAGTGAGGATTACACAACTTGGAGTTAGTGTCACTCTTATCTATGATGGCAGGTAGCCTAGCGGTTAAGAGTGTTGGGCCAGTAATGGAAAGGTCACTGGTTCGAATCCCAGAGCCGACTAGGTGAAAAATCTGTCGATGTACCCTTGAGCAAAAATATAGATATTTCTATCCATGTCATCAGGTGATGTATCAAGAACATAAAATGGATATTGCCCAATCTAACAAGCATCTGTCATCTTTTTGCCATTAGTCTCTAGGGCCTGGTATGTGTGAGATGGCTATAGCTAACACAGTATTTCATTAGTTTGTCCACATGGCCAGGGAGAGACCGGGAGGGAGGGGCATGGACCCTAGTGCGGAGCTTCAAATTGCCTACTTCCAACCCTTATTCTTCAGTAAATACATATAGTCATCCTTTCTTTCCCTTGACTTCACCAGCAGAGTACGAGTCTGTGCCTAAACGGCACCCTATTCCCTACATAAAGTCCTGGTCAAAAGTAGTGCACTATATAAAGAATAGGGTGCCATTTGGGACACAAACTATTGTTATCCATCCACTCCCATGGATGTTGATGAAATGGTGTGATGTTGTTTTGGAAATGATTGGATTTAACGATTACATTAGTTCCGGGTTTAGGTGAAAGGGTATTGAACGGTTGTAATTGATGACTCATGTAAGTGAGACCAGCGACAGAAATCCATACAAGGAATTGATGTGGATTAAGCAATAAATCCATCCAGATACGCAGTGTGGGACGGTAAATACATTATTGCCTTCACAGAGACAGAGACATTCTGGCTATTATGAACTGATGACAAAAGATCAGCTGACACATAGTGTGGTTGTCATGACAACGAAGATCCTTGCTTACAGCGGGGTGGTCTTTACCGAGAGTCTTCTCCCGGATGGACAGAGCATCGTTGAGCAGATGGGCGGCCTCTTTGTATTTGTTCTGATCCCTGGAGAGAGAGAGATAGTCCAATATGATCTCAGCATACATGCACACTGCCAAGTCATACTGTGCCGTCTTCACCACATGCATAGAAATGCAAAAATTCAGCCAAAATAGAACATATGCACTGAACGATTAATACTACAAATGAGAGTTGTCACGATATCAACATTTTACTTACGATACCAGGCCAAGTATTATGATACCGAGTAGTATCGAGGAACCACAGGGGGGTATATTCAGTGGCCTAGCGTCCCGTGAATTTTTATATACAGTACGAGTCAAAAGTTAACACAACTACTCATTCAAGGGTTTTTCTTTATTTTTACTATTTTCTACATTGTAGAATAATAGTGACGACATCAAAACTATGAAATAACACATATGGAAATAACCAAAAAAGTGTTAAACAAATCAAAATATATTTGAGATTTGAGATTCTTCAAACTAGCCACCCTTTGCCTTGATGACAGCTTTGCACACTCTTGGCATTCTCTCAACCAGCTTCATGAGGAATGTCTTTCCAACAGTCTTGAAGGATTTCCCACATATGCTGAGCGCTTTTAGCTGCTTTTCCTTCACTCTGCGGTCCAACTCATACCATCTCAATTTGGTTGAGGTCGGGTGACTGTGGAGATCAGGTCATCTGATGCTGCACTCCATCACTCTCCTTCTTGGTCAAATAGCCCTTACACAGCCTGGAGGTGTGTTGGGTCATTGTCCTGTTGAAAAACAAATGATAGTCCCACTAATCCCAAACCAGATGGGATGACGTATGATTGTAGAATGCTGTGGTAGCCATGTTGGTTAAGTGTGCCTTGAATTCTAAATAAATCACAGACAGTGTCACCAGCAAAGCACCACCACACATGCAGAGATCACCCGTTCACCTACTCTGCGTCTCACAAAGACACGGCGGATGGAACCAAAAATCTAAAATTTCGACTCCAGACCAAAGGACACATTTCCACCGGTCTAATGTCCATTGCTTGTATTTCATGCCCCAAGTAAGTCTCTTCTTCTTATTGGTGTCCTTTAGTAGTGGTTTCTTTGTAGCAATTCAACCACGAAGGCCTGATTCACACGGTCTCCTCTGAACAGTTGATGTTGAGATGTGTCTGTTACTTGAACTCTGTGAAGCATTTATTTTGGCTGCAATCTGAGGTGCAGTTAACTAATGAACTTATCCTCTGCAGCAGAGGTAACTCTGGGTCTTCCTTTCCTGTAGCGGTCCTCATGAGGGTCAATTTTATCATAGCGCTTGATGGTTTTTGCGACTGCATGTTCTTGAAATGTTCCGGATTGACTGACCTTCATGTTTTAAAGTAAAGATGGGACTGTCGTTTCTCTTTGCTTATTTGAGCTGTTCTTGTCATAATATGGACTTGGTCTTTTACCAAATAGGGCTATCTTCTGTATACCACCCCTACCTTGTCACAACACTACTGATTGGCTCAAACGCATTAAGGAAATAAATTAACTTAAATTAACTTTTAGCAAGGCACACCTGTTAATTAAAATGCATTCCAGGTGAATACCTCATGAAGCTGGTTGAGAGAATGCCAAGAGTGTGTAAAGCTGTCATCAAGGCAAAGGGTGGCTATTTGAAGAATCTCAAATATAAAATATATATTTTGATTTGTTTACTATATGATTCCAAAGGTGTTATTTCATAGTTTTGATGTCTTCACTATTATTCTACAATGTAGAAAATAGTAAAAATAAAGAAAAACCCTTGAATGAGTAGGTGTGTCCAAACTTTTGACTGGTACTGTATACTGAACAAAAATATAAAACGCAGCATGTAAAGGGTTGGTCCCATGTTTCATGAGCTGAAATAAAAAGATCCCAGAAATGTTCCATAAGCACAAAAAGCTAATTTCTCTCAATTTTTTGGCACATTTGTTTACATCCCTGTTAAAGAGCATTTCTCATTTGCCAAGATAATCCATCCACCTGACAGGTGTGGCATATCAAGAAGGTGATTAAACGGCATGATCATTACACAGGTGCATCTTGTGCTGGGGACAATAAAAGGCCACTCTAAAATGTGCAGTTTTGTCACACAACACAATGCCACAGATGTCTCAAGTTATGAGGGAGCGTGCAATTGGCATGCTGACTGCAGGAATGTCTACCGGAGCTGTTGCCAGAGAATTGAATGTTAATTTATCTACCATAAGCCGCCTCCAACGTCGTTTTAGAGAGTTTGTCAGTACATGGAACCACACCAGCCCTGGACCTCCACATCCGGCTTCTTTACCTGCGGGATAGTCTTAGACCAGCCACCTGGACAGCTGATGAAACTGTGGGTTTGCACAACCAAATAATTTCTGCACAAACTGTCAGAAACCATCTCAGGGAAGCTCATCTGCGTGCTAGTCGTCCTCACCAGGGACTTGACCTGACTGCAGTTCGGTGTCGTGACCGATTTCAGTGGGCAAATGCTCACCTTTGATGGCCACTGGCATGCTGGAGAGGTGGGCTCTTCACAGATGTATCCCGGTTTCAACTGTACTGGGCAGATGGCAGACAGCGTGTATGGAGTCGTGTGGGCGAGTGGTTTGTTGATGTCAACGTTGTGAACATAGTGCCCCATGGTGGCGGTGGGGTTATGGTATGGGCAAGCATAAGCTCCTGACAACGAACCCAATTGCATTTTATTGATGGCAATTTGAATGCACAGAGATACTGTGACGAGATCCAGAGGTCCATTGTCAAGCCATTCATCCACCGCCCTCACCTCATGTTTCAGCATGATAATGCACGGCCCCATGTCGCAAGGGTCTGTACACAATTCCTGGAAGCTGAAAATGTCCCGGTTCTCCCATTGCCTGCATACTCACCAGACATGTCACCCAACATTGAGCATGTTTGGGATGCTCTGGATCAACGTGTACGACAGCGTGTTCTAGTTCCCGCCAATATCCAGCAACTTCGCACAGCCAATGAAGAGGAGTCGGACAACATTCCACAGGCCACAATCAACAGCATGATCAACTCTATGCGAAGGATGTGTCGCGCTGCATGAGGCAAATGGTCGTCACACCAGATACTGACTGGTTTTATGATCCACGACCATACTTTTTTCTTTTTAAGGTATCTGTGGCCAACAGATGCATAACTGTATTCTCAGTCATATGAAATCCATAGATTAGGGCCTAAATAATTATTTTAAATTGACTGAAATGTAACAGAATTTATAAACATTTTATAGCAGGTGCCAGCTGGTTCTTTAGATCGATAGGGACGAGAAATTTGGTAATATCATATGAAACGGTACTATGGTATTCAAAAATGTTGGTATCATAAGTTTCATGACGTTTTAGTACCGTGATATTACCGTGGTACCGGTGTACCGTGCAACACTACTACAAATTCTACAAACATGGCAACTATGAAAATCTAGCCAAGCACACCAAACAAAATAACAGGCAAATCATGCAGCATTGTCCCTATGTAAGCCAGGTAGGGTAAGAATCAGGGTCTTGTCCAATAACAAATAGTTGCAAAACACTTTTTAAATGTTGTCTACTGGGTGCCCTAATGAACACAAACCTAGTATAGATCAAGGAGGATGCCAGGCCTCACCTGTAGACCAGGGCCAGGATGTTGAGCATGGTGGCCACGTCAGGGTGGTCATGTCCGGAGGTCTTCTCCAGGTCCTCCAGGGCCTGTTTGCAGAGGGGCACGGCCACCTCGTAGCGGCCCTGCGAGGCATACTGGATCACCAGGTTGTGGAGTGTCCTCAGGCGGGCTGGGATCTCATAGCCTCCCTGCTGGGCTGCAGCCACCGCCGCACTATTGTGCTGGTGCTGCACTGTGGGGGTGGAGGAGGGAGAAAACACAGAGGGCAAAGGTCATGTCAACAGCAAGGACACTTGGTGACCTGTTTTTGGCAACAAACAGTGATACAATAATACATTACAAGCTAATATGGTTTTTCAACTATATCTAAGAGCACTCTAAGCAGGGTTCGTACAGACAGTGGAAAGTCAAATTCAAGGACTTAAGGACTTTTTCAAGCACTAATATTTATTTTGAAGGACCATCAATTTGTAATAGTTCCTATTATGCAATTGTTCACCACCATATGGCAGTATGTCGCCACAACGTCATGAATAAAACCAACTAACTTACTATTTATTAATCACTACCTCACAAGTTCTACTCAATACGTGTTTCACTACTTATCTACTACATGAGTGGTCAGTCAGTACTGTACTAATGTTGTAGCCTATGAATGAAAGTTTACAACATAGGTGCACACAGTTCGAGAGACAAATTTGAGGTGACAGACAGTGGCACATGGACAGACCGTGACATTCAATACCGCCTTAAAACAGTCTTGCCTGCATCTAGCTGATATAGGGTGTAATCATTTGTCCAACAGTTACAAACAAGAGTTTCTATTGGACAAATTCAGGTATGTTTATCCCCGTTTTGTTCCGTTTGAGAAACGTTTTTTCATCAAAATCGGCGGAACGAATACACCCCTGATTACGCATAAACACAGTTCACTTTCATAGCAGCCACATTTTATTCCTTCTCAAATCTATGCGCTCTCCTCCTCTCACCTCTTCCCTTCGCTTCGGGACTTCAATGCACAACACAACATATTAGCTAAAGTAACGTCATACTCAGCATAGCTAATAGAACTAACGCGTTAGTAAACCCGCTACAATCATGCAGTAACGTTAGTGTACAGTCAGTAAGCAGTTACACCGGTGGGCCCCGGTGGCAATAAACTAGTAATACCAAAAGCTTACCTTGACTTGGAAGAGTTCCAATGTTGTGTTGGAAAGTCATAGCCAGCTAGCTAACATAGCATCCCTCTGTTTGAGCAGGGTGTTTCAGCAGGCTAAACTAACTAGATGCCTTTGCTTGCTAAGTAAGTGAAACTGGAAAAAAATGACTATTTCTCATGCTTCTCCTTCATTTTGGAAGAAATTAATTTGTTCAAAACTGTTCAACTATTGTCTTTCTCTCTCTTTGAGTCAACCACTCACCACATTTTATACACTGCAGTGCTAGCTAGCTGTAGCTTATGCTTTCAGTACTAGATTCATTCTCTGATCCTTTGATTGGGTGGACAACATGTCAGTTCATGCTGCAAGAGCTCTGATAGGCTAAAGGACATCCTCCGGACGTTGTCATAATTACTGTATAAGTCTATGGAAGGGGGTGAGAACCATGAGCCTCCTAGGTTTTTTATTGTAGTCAATGTACCCAGAGGAGGACGGAAGCTAGCTGTCCTCCGGCTACACCATGGTGCTACCCTACAGAGTGCTGTTGAGGCTACTGTAGACCTTCTTTGCAAAATAGTGTGTTTTAATCTATTATTTGGTGACGTGATTATATTTAGTATAGTTTATCTAAAAAGGATCACTTTTGAAATGTTTTACCATTTACATTTTTATGAAATTCACTGAGGATGGTCCTCCCCTTCCTCCTCTGAGGAGCCTCCACTGGTGAACACACATTTCCTATTCGCATTACTAAACAATTCAATGACTGTATTGTATTTTTAAAATCGGGGAATCTACTACTTAAAAAGCTATGAAAAAGCGTCTTGCTTCCGACTGGCAGCTTTAATGTCGCCGGTCAGGAGAAGGACGGGCGGGCTGTGTGAGGAAAACGGCATGTGAACGGCAGGAGCACGGCTGCCGCTTGATAAAGCAGAATATCGCGGGCGCCGCTTGAATGAAGCAAAAAAGCTCTGGAGAGAAAATGCCGCATAATGTAGAACTGGCGCCAGCGCAGGATATAGCGTAGTGTCTATCCCCCTTCAGGACCAATTCACCCATGCTCACAATGTTAAAGTCTGACGCATCTTTTGCACCTTACACTGTGTGGGTTGGTTGAGTACAGTGATGTAGTGGTAAAAAGAAAAGTGGGTAAACTATACTGAACAAAAATATAAAACGCAACATGTAAAGTGTTGGTCCCAAGTTTCATGTGCTGAAATAACATTTTCCTGACACACAAAAGGTAGTTTTGAATATACATTTGTTCTGCATTTTAGCTATCAATGTGACATTTGGCGGCACCTAATCAGTCAGTTCTGTACATGCCTGGCTGAGTGGCAGTGTGGGTGGAATGAGCGAGCTCGCCTGGCAACCAGAGCTCGAAACACGTGAGGAATTAAATCTCAGCAGTCAGCCTGGAAATTAATTCATGAGACCAATACATTTTTCTAATATTTTTCATATTAACATATTTGATCATTTTCTGTTCTCCTCTCATTTTAATTCAAGTACTTTTCAAGTACCAACTTGAGAAAAGGTCTGATTTTCAAGTTTTTCCAGTACTTGAACTTAAGAGTGCCAAATTCAAGTACTTTAAGCACCTTGTGCGAACCCTGTCTAAGGGATGTAGTAATGATGTCAGTGGTATCCGTCTTACTGCCTTGGCCTTGCTCCTCTTCATTGTTGGGGAAGAGATCATCCAGAGAGTCCTTGGGGGGCTCGCCGTCCTTCTCCTCCTGCTGATAGACCACATCACACATCATTAGCCCAATCAACACAGACACAGGAATCCAGTTGTGAGGCTGTTGGGGGCAGTTTCTTTATCAGCCATGTTGGAAAATTCTAAGCTTTGAGAATTCATATCTCTTCAATATATACTGATAACGTTACAGTGAACGTGGCAGATGTTCTGAAAACCAGAGCTATTTTTTATTAATAATAATCTCAAGATGGGTGGAAAAAAACCTAAACCATTAGGTTACGTTTTCAACTAATAACACGACCCAGAAGAGATGTTCAATTCTACATTTCAGAAGCGTCTTTCAAGAACCCTTGTGGGTAATGGAACACCCATATACAGTGAGGAAAAAAAGTATTTGATCCACTGCTGATTTTGTACGTTTGCCCACTGACAAAGAAATTATCAGTCTATAATTGTAATGGTAGGTTTATTTGAACAGTGAGAGACAGAATAAAAACAAAAAGATCCAGAAAAACACATGTCAAAAATGTTATAAATTGATTTGCATTTTAATGAGGGAAATAAGTATTTGACCCCTCTCAATCAGAAAGATTTCTGGCTCCCAGGTGTCTTTTATACAGGTAACGAGCTGAGATTAGGAGCACACTCTTAAAGGGAGTGCTCCTAATCTCAGCTTGTTACCTGTATAAAAGACACCTGTCCACAGAAGCAATCAATCAATCAGATTCCAAACTCTCCACCATGGCCAAGATCAAAGAGCTCTCCAAGGATGTCAGGGACAAGATTGTAGACCTACACAAGGCTGGAATGGGCTACAAGACCATCGCCAAGCAGCTTGGTGAGAAGGTGACAACAGTTGGTGCGATTATTCGCAAATGGAAGAAACACAAAATAACTGTCAATCTCCCTCGGCCTGGGGCTCCATGCAAGATCTCACCTCGTGGAGTTGCAATGACATTGAGAACGGTGAGGAATCAGCCCAGAACTACACGGGAGGATCTTGTCAATGATCTCAAGGCAGCTGGGACCATAGTCACCAAGAAAACAATTGGTAACACACTACGCCGTGAAGGACTGAAATCCTGCAGCGCCCGCAAGGTCCCACTGCTCAAGAAAGCACATATACAGGCCCGTTTGAAGTTTGCCAATGAACATCTGAATGATTCAGAGGAGAACTGGGTGAAAGTGTTGTGGTCAGATGAGACCAAAATCGAGCTCTTTGGCATCAACTCAACTCGCTGTGTTTGGAGGAGGAGGAATGCTGCCTATGACCCCAAGAACACCATCCCCACCGTCAAACATGGAGGTGGAAACATTATGCTTTGGGGGTGTTTTTCTGCTAAGGGGACAGGAGACAACAACACTGCATCAAAGGGACGATGGACGAGGCCATGTACCGTCAAATCTTGGGTGAGAACCTCCTTCCCTCAGCCAGGGCATTGAAAATGGGTCGTGGATGGGTATTCCAGCATGACAAATGACCCAAAACACACGCCCAATGCAACAAAGGAGTGGCTCAAGAAGAAGCACATTAAGGTCCTGGAGTGGCCTAGCCAGTCTCCAGACCTTAATCCCATAGAAAATCTGTGGAGGGAGCTGAAGGTTCGAGTTGCCAAACGTCAGCCTCGAAACCTTAATGACTTGGAGAAGATCTGCAAAGAGGAGTGGGACAAAATCCCTCCTGAGATGTATGCAAACCTGGTGGCCAACTACAAGAAGCGTCTGACCTCTGTGATTGCCAATAAGGGTTTTGCCACCAAGTACTAAGTCATGTTTTGCAGGGGTCAAATACTTATTTCCCTCATTAAAATGCAAATCAATTTATAAAATGTTTGACATGCATTTTTCTGGATTTTGTTGTTGTTATTCTGTCTCTCACTGTTCAAATAAAACTACCATTCAAATTATAGACTGATCATGTCTTTGTAAGTGGGCAAACGTACAAAATCAGCAGGCGATCAAATACTTTTTTCCCCTCACTGTATATATAAGCATTTTCTTTGACAGGAAACCACTTAAAATACCTTAAAATGGAAAAGCTGATAGCCGGGCGAGGGCTGTGGTCCCAGAGAGGTGTAATCTGGAAAGGTTCCTGCCGAGTTAAGCAGCAGCCTTGCGTGGGCTATTACAGCTTCAGTGAGTGACTCAGGAGAAAGTCTGGGATTAATTTAGTGAGATGAAATGTTCAGAATGTTGCAGATATAAATGTAACGAATCGGACTGACATTATGGCCAATTCTATAGATTTCTTTTTTATATATCTGTTCTGGAAAATGCATTTCTATCTGAACATTTTTGTAGTTTGAACAGAATACATAAATGCAGGGTCGTTTTCATTCGGGATCGAACTGAAGAAAACGGACTGAACAGGAAGGGACTACTGCTCATTTTCGTTTTCCGTTGCAAAGTGTTTTAAAATGTTGTGTGACCTAATGAACGTGACCATGGGGGATTCATTTCAACCACTCGATCAATGAGGCCCTGACCAGTCCCTTTCCAGGAAGACCCTGCAGGTCATTTTTCCTTCCCGGTAAAGACATGACAGCCAAGTTAATCACATTCTAATTTCAGATTTCCTCTCTGGTTAGTTTGCTGCGCTTCAGAGAAACGCTATTGCATACAGAATCAGATAAATAAGTTGTGTGTGTTCTATTCTTCAATATAATCGAAATTGAAACTGATCTGTTGTGTCTGCATTTTACCTATCACAAGTCTTAGACACTTACAGTGGGAGAGACGTCCTCGTCGTACTTCTTGAGCTGGTTCATGAACTCCAGGTGCTTCTTCTCCTCCTCCAGCTGAGCCACGCTCTGCTCGCTCTTCTGCAGCTTCTGCTGGGTGTTGGCCAGCTCGTCCCTCAGCCACTGGTTCTCCTGGCATAGCCGACGCACCTGGGCTCGCAGCTTCTGCTTCTCAGACTCCACCGCGTTCAGATGGTTGGACAGGGCCATCATCACCTGAGGAGAAGAGGTAAGGATATTTTAAAATCAGACCACCACACATCAGTAGCTGTCCATGGTTCTCTTTAGTTCTCTTTCATCCTAGTTCTCCCTGGTTCTTCAGATGAAGAAACAGCATAAGAGGAGTAAGAGAACAAGGGAATGGCAGAGAGGTCGGTGGTAAGTGTGAGAGAGAGAGCCTTATGAAAGACAGAGACACTAAAACACAACTAGCTGAGGTTAGGGTGAATCATGAGGAATGTTTTCCTAAGCTTGGTCTAATATAAAATAAGGAAGTTGCTGTGAAATATATACAGAAGTTGAAGACTCATATTAGTACCAACTTCAGTATTTTGCAGAGAACCTGGTCCCAGATCTGTTATACAGTCTTGCCAACGGTCATTGTCACAACAAACTAAGTTTGCAAGATAGCACTAAACAGATCTGGGACCAAGCTACTCAGATCCTCCATCAGGCTTACATACATGTGCTTCTCCCAGGCCCAGCTCGATCATCTCCACAGACTTGCGCAGCAGGCTGGACTTCTCGTGCACCAGGTTGGCCTCCTCATCTTTCTTCAGGCACTTGATGGTCTCCAGCAGGCTGTGCAGGATGGAGTTGTGCTCGTTCTTCAGCGCCTCCAGGCCCTGGATCACCAGCTTGGTGTTGGAGATTATCTCTTCCTGGGACAGCTTCTCCAGCTTCTCTTCCCTCGGGTACACCATCGTGGACATTGTCTAGTCTACCTTAGGAAGACCTGGAGGGAAAGGAAGGTTGAAACAGAGGAGGACAAGGGTGGGTTAATGTCTTGGAACAGAGAGGTAAAAATAGGGTTGCAAAATTCCTGTAACTTTCCCAAAATTCCCAGGTTTTACAGAAATCCCAGTTGGACGATTCCCAGAATCAGAAGTTTTATAACCCTAGGTAGAGAGAGGCCCACTCAATGTCATGTGAAAGGACATTTCAATTAAATAAACTATATTCATCCCAGAGGGGCAATTATTGCAGGGCATATTAGAAGACGAGTAAACAACACAACTGATTGGATTTCAAACACAGCTGCGTTCGTTTACTCTTGCTTTCATTTACACAGAGCCTATTAGCCTAACAGCTCCCATCAAGAGACATAGACAGGAGACTGTTTGGTTTGACTGAAGCTCCAGAGCCAAAGCACAGCAGCACCTGCTTTACATTCCCTGCTATCCAGGTCAACGTTTCAAAGCCTCACCCTCTGGCCTAAATTACAACGGATATGATCTTCACACTACTGCTCAGTGCTCACTGTCCCCAGTCTCAGCAGTCACAGTGACACTAAAATACAACGGATTCCATCTTCACACTACTGCTTAAGGCTCCAGTCATCATGATAACACAGTAAGTATAAGACTGAGGATGTGTGACTGACAACTGTAAGTAGGACAAATGAGCCTAACTGAGATCTTCTGGACACACAAGAAGAGATTAGTCATAATGTCTGTGTTCAGATGGACTTACAAACAGTACTGTTAGGAGATCTGGAAAAACCACGATTAATCAATGGGAAATATGATTATACTCTTAGGTAAAGTAGGCCATTTCTTTTTAAGGTAATCTCAGTAGAAATTTTACGAATAGAAAGCTTCAAGACCCTTGTAAGACATCGCAGTACAATAGAAGGATGTATTGCAAAACAAAATAGTAAAATAGTAGTGTACTGAGAAAGATGGGTTAGTCTGTAGACATCTGAGGGTTGGAATTAAGATTGGAGTGGTTGATGGATTGACCAATACACTTGGAGTCCAGTGCGATAAGGAAAGAAACTTAGTTTACTGATTTAAAAAAATATATACATACAGTGGGGAGAACAAGTATTTGATACACTGCCGATTTTGCAGGTTTTCCTACTTACAAAGCATGTAGAGGTCTGTAATTTTTATCATAGGTACACTTCAACTGTGAGAGACGGAATCTAAAACAAAAATCCAGAAAATCACATTGTATGATTTTTAAGTAATTCATTAGCATTTTATTGCATGACATAAGTATTTGATCACCTACCAACCAGTAAGAATTCCGGCTCTCACAGACCTGTTAGTTTTTCTTTAAGAAGCCCTCCTGTTATCCACTCATTACCTGTATTAACTGCACCTGTTTGAACTCGTTACCTGTATAAAAGACACCTGTCCACACACTCAATCAAACAGACTCCAACCTCTCCACAATGGCCAAGACCAGAGAGCTGTTTAAGGACATCAGGGATAAAATTGTAGACCTGCACAAGGCTGGGATGGGCTACAGGACAATAGGCAACAACTATTGGCGCAATTATTAGAAAATGGAAGAAGTTCAAGATGACGGTCAATCACCCTCGGTCTGGGGCTCCATGCAAGATCTCACCTCGTGGGGCATCAATGATCATGAGGAAGGTGAGGGATCAGCCCAGAACTAAACGGCAGGACCTGGTCAATGACCTGAAGAGAGCTGGGACCACAGTCTCAATGAAAACCATTAGTAACACACTATGCCGTCATGGATTAAAATCCTGCAGCGCACGCAAGGTCCCCCTGCTCAAGCCAGCGCATGTCCAGGCCCGTCTGAAGTTTGCCAATGACCATCTGGATGATTCAGAGGAGGAATGGGAGAAGGTCATGTGGTCTGATGAGACAAAAATATAGCTTTTTGGTCTAAACTCCACTCGCCGTGTTTGGAGGAAGAAGAAGGGTGAGTACAACCCCAAGAACACCATCCCAACCATGAAGCATGGAGGTGGAAACATCATTCTTTGGTGATGCTTTTCTGCAAAGGGGACAGGACGACTGCACCGTATTGAGGGGAGGATGGATGGGGCCATGTATCGCAAGATCTTGGCCAACAACCTCCTTCCCTCAGTAAAAGCATTGAAGATGGGTCGTGGCTGGGTCTTCCAGCATGATAACGACCCGAAATACACAGCCAGGGCAACTAAGGAGTGGCTCCATAAGAAGCATCTCAAGGTCCTGGAGTGGCCTAGCCAGTCTCCAGACCTGAACCCAATAGAAAATCTTTGGAGGGAGCTGGAAGTCTGCATTGCCCAGCGACAGCCCCGAAACCTGAAGGACCTGGAGAAGGTCTGTATGGAGGAGTGGGCCAAAATCCCTGCTGCAGTGTGTGCAAACCTGGTCAAGACCTACAGGAAACGTATGATCTCTGTAATATTTGGTTTCTGTACCAAATATTAAGTTCTGCTTTTCTGATGTATCAAATACTTATGTCATGCAATAAAATGCAAATTAATTACTTAAAAATCATACGATGTGATTATCTTGATTTTTGTTTTAGATTCAGTCTCTCACAGTTGAAGTGTACCTATGATAAAAAATTACAGACCTCTACATGCTTGTAAGTAGGAAAACCTGCAAAATCGGCAGTGTAACAAATACTTGTTCTCCCCACTGTATGTATGTATGTATGTATGTATGTATGTATGTATGTATGTATGTATGTATGTATGTATGTATGTATGTATGTATGTATGTATGTATGTATATATAGTACCAGTCAAAAGTTTGGACACACCTTACTCATTCAAGGATCTTTCTTTATTTTTACTATTTTCTACATTTTTTATTTTTTTTTGCAGACGCTCTTATCCAGAGCGACTTACATGAGCAATTAGGGTTAAGTGCCTTGCTCAAGGGCACATCGACAGATTTTTCACCTAGTCGGCTCGGGGATTAGAACCAGCGACCTTTCGGTTACTGGCACAACGCTCTTAACCACTAAGCTACCTGCCGTCAAGACATCAAAACTATGAAATAACACATACGGAATCATGTAGTAACCAAAAAAGTATTAAACAAATCAATATATATTCTATATTTGAGATTCTTCAAATAGCCACCCTTTGCCTTGATGACAGCTTTGCACACTCTTGGCATTCTCTCAACCAGCTTCATGAGGTAGTCACCTGGAATGCATTTCAATTAACAGGTTTGCCTTCATAAAAGTTAATTTGTGGAATTTCTTTCCTTCTTAATGCGTTTGAGCCAATCAGTTGTGTTGTGACAAGGTGGGGGGGTATACAGAAGATAGCCCAATTTGGTAAAAGTCCATATTATGGCAAGAACAGCTCAAATAAGCAAAGAGAAACGACAGTCCATCATTACTAAGACATGAAGGTCAGTCACCATTAATTTTTTTTATCTTTAACTCTGCATTGTTGGAAAATAACCCTTAAGTAAGCATTTCACTGTTAAGACGTCAGCACGCTTCAGTTCAGCTAGCGCCGAACTAGTGTTTGGTGCAGTATTTCTCAATGAAAAATTTGCACGAAAACGAGTCGTCTCTCGTTGAATGACAACAAAGACTATTGGAGAATCCTTACTGTTGATGATCAATCACCAAAGAAGAGGTGTAGACTTCAGCTACCGACTTTGGCTTGCCTCAAGAAAAACATGTGTGCCCAAACAGCCGAAAAAAACCTTACCAAATCCAAAACTAACAACAACGTCACAAAATGTAATCATAATATATGCACAAACTCTTCCGAACTGTTTCGGCTAGGAAGCATGTGGACACCTTTAGTCTACACCTGTTGTTTACGAAGCATGTGACAAATAACATTTGATTGATTTGATATGTACTCAGGCTTTTCTGAAATAAGCTAGCATCAGTTAGCTGCACATTCCAGCTCAGGCTTGACCCATGTTACAAAGGAAGGCCTAGATATTGATCATGCCGCTTACTAGAGCATGCTCGACCCGGGCTTGTAACTGTGTGTTCATGTCGCACATTGCTAGTCGTCGAACGCCAAACTCTTCATTGAGACAATGCTGAAACATCAATCCGTGGGCAATCAGTGGCCCAATTATATTTTTGGCAAAATAAAAATGAAAGACAGTTGAAGTGCAAATTCAGCAGGCTATGGTGTGAAATGGCCTATTAAAGTGCCGTCTTTCTTACGCATATCGTTGGTTTGGTTTGTCCTCAACTCACCGCTCAAACACTTCATTCAGGATATATGGAGTTAGCCCGCCCGGAGCAGGTTAGTTCTGAAGGATTCTTTGCCATAGAAATGTACCTGACTAAAAGGTGAGCATCCTTCATGTCACCGGTTATTTGGAGTTGAACTCAGAGTTGACCAAAGTTAGCTCTCAATCTCCTCTATCTAGATTCGTAGTACACCACTCGGGTGAAAGCCAGCCTAATGATGGGATTAAAACATTGTTTTCACCTCTCAATTATTTTCCAAACAGTGCAGATGAAGGGAAGGAGACGAGAAGAGGAAGGATTTTAGACAATTGAGAAAGAGTTCATCCTAACTTCATCACTGCATCCTCCAACATCCCACCCTCAGCTCAAACACCAAAATAGACTCTCTTAGCACACTGATCTGAGAGGAAACAGACTCACTTGCTTTTGGCAAGAGTAATGACACAATGCATATAGCTTTACCATCGGTCTACCCAATAAAACAGTGTCAGGACTGGTGCATGCTGCCGCCTTGGGGTGCAGAACAGAAACGCGGGTCATGAGTCAGCTTGTTGTTGAGAAATTGCCAGTTTTTACATTCTGCTGCAATCGGGAAAGCTTCCCCCTCCCGCCCAAATGTGAGTAAAGTCCTCATTAGGGTTGGGCGGTATCCAGATGTTCATATTGTCATACCGTCCTTCTCTCATCCCAGGAATTACGGTATTACCGGCTTAGTACACAAGGGGTATGTTGTAATTTTTCATGTTGTAATTTCTGCTCGGCATCAAACTAATTTTGTGCTTCA